TTGAGATTCCTGTGAGCTATGACGCCAAGGGACTCTACCAGGGGCAAGAAATTGAGAGTGTCTCAAAAAAAGAAAAAAGAAAAAAGAAAAAAAGAAAGAAAAGAAAAGGAAAAAAAAGTTAATCTGTTAACATCACAAAAGCAATGGGGAAAATAAAAAAGTCATTGGATCCCCAAAGTAGAGAAAATGTCCCAAAATTCTGGGAAAAGTTTGCCAGAGATAACTAAGAAAATAAACTGCTCTGCAGAGCCTAAAATCTTCTTCGTCTTCTTTTTTTTTTTTCAAATCCCAGTCTCACTTTTGTCGCCCTGAGTAGAGTTCCATGGCATCATAGCTCATAGTAACCTCAAACTCTTTGGCTCAAGTAATTCTCTTATGCCAGCCTCCTGAGTAGCTGGGCCTATAGTTGCCTGCCCCAATGCCCAGATATTATTAGAGACCAGGTCTCCCTCTGGCTCAGGCTGGTCTCCAACCTGTGAGCTCAAGCAATCAACCCACCTGGCCTCCCAGACTGCTGGATTACAGACGTGAATCATCTTGCTGGGACACAGAGCCTGAACTCTTTTTTTCTTTAGCAGTTTTTGGCCAGCACTGGGTTTGAACCCTCTACCTCTGGTATATGTGGCCAGTGCCCTACTTCTTTGAGCCACAGGCACCACCCCAGAACGTCAACTTTTAACCTCACCTATTGTTAATGGTGCGTTTTTCTTTGTAAGCAGATCACGGTTTTAATCGAATTACCATGGTGATAACTTGCTTTTAGTTGCAGTATTTACTTCCAAAGTCAACAGGAACTCCCCTGTGTAGCAGCTGAAGCAGATGTATGAGCATAGGAGGACAGAGAGGATCTCAGTACCTGGAAATAAACAAGCCTCCTTAGAAGAGAGTTTACAGAAGGTGAAAGACTCTCAAAGAAGAAGCTGTCAAAGCAAGGTCATGAAACCTGCTGTGAGACATTCTAGTAAGTTCTTGCAGGTGATAATTGGGAGTTATGTATTCTTCTAGTTAGGCCTAGTGGCCCTAGGCAAGACACAAAGGAGTCAAGACTAGGCTATAATGGAAAAATACCAGCTAACTCCTGGCGAATTTCTGGACTGCAAGCTTTCAAAAACAAAAGAAATGAAATAATTCTAGTGCACTCCCCAGATACATGGGAATGTACTAATTAATTTCTTGCTTCTAGTTCACTCCAAAGTTCTTGCTTGGCTAACTCCGTTGGAAACAGACCGGGAGGTACCAACTGTTCCCAGACTGACTTTTAAACAATACTAAGTGGGGAAAGTACTGGAACTAAGATGTATAGGGGGAAAATAGTAAAACAAAAATATATGACTAACTAACCGCAAAATTCTGCTTCTGTACAATGCTTGCTTGCTACTCTACCCGGATGCACCTGGACAGCCTGGGTGCCAACCAGGATGCAGACCAAGCCTTTATATCCGGATCCCTTTAACACTCAGGGCTGCTCTCAGAAACCCCATGTTGGGACCCTGAGGCAGTTGCTGGCTGGCTCTTCAATAAAAGGACTCCTCTTTAAATTTAACTTGTTTAATTGTGTGGTCTTTGTGGGGAATTCCTGGGCACAACATTCCAAGTTCTCTCCAATGTATTTGTGCTGTTCACAGCTGCATCATGTGGCTCAATGCACAGGACGGTCTAAGTTGAGCTATTAATGTTATGATATCTTTTACACTTCACCTTAGCCAAAAGGCCGATAATTGATTGTGTGGTATATATTCAATACCCGACAGACTCAGTTCATACCCACTGAAGTCAAAAGTTAAAATAAAGAATTCAAAGTCAAGGAGTTTTCAAAGGAAAAGATGAATTGCCCAACAAAATTCATGACTTTAGGGAGGAAGGTCAGGAAATTTAGGAGGTGATTTGTTGACCTTTGCCAGCAATGTCTAAATACTGGAGGGGGCACAGAGAGTGGAGTTGAGGAAAAAAAAAAAAGGAAAGCAAGGAAGTGAAATGATCTGGTCAAAATGGTTTCCGAAGTGGCTTGGAGGAGCCGGGATGGTTGCCACCTAGTGTTAATTCAACGTACTGAGAAAAAAAATAAAACAAAGCTGCTCTGAACTTTGAATTACTGGGAAGAAAAAAAAAGGCTGAAGAAATTAGTTTAGGTCCAACCTAAATTTGGTTTGCTCTTCTTTCTCAGTCTCCAACATGCTCCAACACTTCCAGTTCCCAAAATAACCCTCGACGGCACCACAGCACCCAGTCCTGCCTGACAGGACTGGCTGAGGTCCTCCAGGAGATCTCTCCATTCATGGCTCAGGATGAACATGAACTTTCATGTGCCCAAGTCTATTCCTCATATTTTTTCTTCATTTTGTTTGCTCAGGTATGATCTACCCTGGAATTAAGTGAGAAAGCGAATTTATCTGGGGTTCTTTTCTCCTCCATGTTGACCATTATCTTGCCCCATTAAAAAACTAATTGTCTTCCCTCTTTCAGAAGAGAAGGTGGAGGGGCGGGAAGGAGAGGGGGAGGTGGAGGGAGGGTAATCGGTGGGACCTCATCTATGGTGCATATTGCAAGGGTACATGTCAAATCTGTTAGGAGTAGGGTATAAATGTCTTAACACAACAATTAGGTACATGAGGTGAGGGTTATGTTAACCATTTGATGTAAGCATTTCAAACTGTATATAAGATCAGCACATAGTGCCCCCAAAATACATTAATGCACACAGTTATGATTTAATTTTAAAAATTAAAAAATAAACTTATTTTTACCTGCCTTAAGTCCCTCTTGCTTTTATTCCTCTTCTTAGAGGTCGACCTTAGGTAAATGAGTTAATTTCTCTGTGTTTCAGTACTCATCTGTATAACAGAATAATTCATAACACCTAAGGCCTCTGTGAAATTTAAGTAAAATAATGTATGGGAAATGCCATTTTTTTGTTTATTTGTTTATATATGTATGTATTTTTTGAGACAGAGTCTCACTATGCCCCCCTCAGTAGAGTGCTGTAGTGTCACAGGTCACAGCAACCTCAATCTCTTGGGCTTAAGTGATTCTCTTACCTCTGCCTCCCAAGTAGCTGAGCCTACAGGTGCCTGCCACAACACCTGGCTATTTTTTGATTGCAGTTGTCATTGCTGTTTTAACAGTCCTGGGCTGGGCTTGAACCTACCAGGTTTGGTGTACATGGCTGGCACCCTATTCACTGAGGTACCGGAGCTAAGCCAAAGCCATTCTTTAAACTGAAGAACATGTGAATTACTCTGACTGCAGATAGATTCATGTAAAACAACTCTTAAGCAGGTGTGATGTTTCCCACATAGATTTGGGAAAGTACCAAATCTTAGGGTTGGCAAGAAAGCAGAATGACCTGCAGTTTCCTCATTTATGAAATCGAGGTTTGGGGGCATTCCATAGCACTGTTTTAAGAATCAAATGAATTAGCAAATGATCTAATGTCCACAACACATTATTAGTCTTTTGTCTTTATTCCATCTTGATCTCTGGTCCTCCTGCCTCCCATCTCCAAATTCCTTGTTCAATGGTTTATCAAGTCATGTGGATGATCTGAGAGCCTCACAAAGCTTCTGGCCTCATAGAGTGAGTATTCTCCAGCTCAAGAAGAAGAATGATGACAAACATGAGGTTCAAAGTCAGACTGTCAGAGTCAGAGGCTCACTCCATGGTCAAACATCTCTGCCTCTAGTGTCTTCAAGTTTACATGGAAATAAAACAGTACCTACTTCATCATAGGGATTAAACAAGAAACTTGCTTGCAGTCGTGCTCAATGAATTAACGAAGTCAAGTCTGGGTGCCCATAACTCAGTGGTTAGGGCGGCGGCCACATGCATGCGGGTTGATGGGATAGGACAGTACCCCGGCCTGCTAAAACAAACAAACAGAAAGAGAGTTAACCAAGTCAGATTTGAAAAGGTGGGTTGGGTAAAGCCGCAAAGAGGTGTGGCTAGGGAGGGCTGAGTAGGGCGTATGCAGGGTGGGCTGCTCAGGGTTGTATTTAAGAAATGCCTCTCAGAGCAGCGCTGTGTTGCTCTAAAGGCTGAAGTAGAGATTGGACGTGCCTTCAGGTGGTGAGTAAGTGCATTTCGTGGTGACCAATGTTTCTTTTGTGGGAGGCTGTCTGCCTGATGTTCTGGTGTTTTGGAGAGGTTTGAGGGTTCATCGCTCTTTTTTTTTTTTTTTTCTGAGATAAGGCTTTCACTGCCTAGCCTCGTGTCCCAACTCTTGGACTTTACTGATCCTCCCCCCTTCGGAATTCCCCTATAATTGAGATTAAGGGTGTTCCCCATTGTGCTGGCTTTTTGAGCTTTCACTTTTTAAAAGTGAAACAGGCCATTTCAGGGAGCTTGCCGATGCTGTCGCAGGGGTGGATCCTGAGCTGCCGAAGCCCCCGACCTGCTCTCCCACGCGGGCTCATCTAATCCCGTTGTTTCTTTTAGGTTCGCTCATATTCGGGCTGGGCGGTACCGCGGCCTGGGCCGTACCGCGGCCTGGGCCTGGGGCTTAACAGTAGCAAGAGCGGCGGCCACAGTAGCAGCGGAGGTCGTCTCAGTCTCTCCCCGAATACCAGCACCACAGGCGCCCCAAAGCCCGCACAGGCATTCAGAGAAAATGGCAGACGATGTTGATACTGAAGCAATGCTTGAGGCTCCTTATAAGACGGATGAGGACAAGTTGAGCAGTGCTAATGGCCATGGAGAACGTAGCAAAAAGAGAGGGGAAAGCAAGAGCAGAAGTCGTACTGATGAACCAAAGAGAAGCCGAAGGAAGGAAGGGAAGCGAAGTAGAGATAGAGAAAGGAAAAGGAGCAGAAGCCCTGAAAGGAAGCGAAGTAGAAGCAAAGAAAGGAGACGGAGCCGCTCGAGAAGTCGAGATGGCAGATTCAGAGGCCGCTACACAAGTCCTTACTCCAGACCAAAATTTAACAGTGACATCCGAGGACAGACTGGGTTGCCTTTGAGAAAAGACAAGAGCCCTGTGCGGGAGCCTATTGATAATCTGACTCCTGAGGAAAGAGATGCAAGAACAGTTTTCTGCATGCAGCTGGCAGCAAGAATTCGACCAAGGGATTTGGAAGCGTTTTTCTCTACAGTTGGAAAGGTTCGAGATGTGAGGATGATTTCCGATCGAAATGCAAGACGTTCCAAAGGAATTGCTTATGTGGAGTTTGTTGATGTTAGCTCGGTGCCTCTAGCAATAGGATTAACAGGCCAACGAGTTTTCGGAGTGCCAATCCTAGTACGGGCATCACAGGCAGAAAAAAACAGAGCTGCAGCAATGGCAAACAATTTGCAAAAGGGACGTGCCGGCCCCATGCGGCTTTATGTAGGCTCTTTACACTTGAACATAACTGAAGCTATGCTTCGGGGGATCTTTGAGCCTTTTGGAAGGCTCGAAAGTATCCAGCTTATGAAGGACAGTGAAACAGGTCGATCTAAAGGATACGGATTTATTACATTTTCAGACTCAGAATGTGCCAAAAAGGCTTTGGAACAACTTAATGGATTGGAACTAGCTGGAAGGCCAATGAAAGTTGGTCATGTTACTGAAGGTACTGATGCTTCTACTGCTAGTTCATTTTTGAACAGCGATGAATTAGAAAGGACTGGAATTGACTTGGGAACAGCTGGTGGTCTTCAATTTATGGCAAGACTTGCGGAGGGTACAGGTTTGCAGATTCCACCAGCAGCACAGCAGGCTCTACAAATGAACAGCCCTTTGGCATTTGGTGCTACGGCAGAATTCTCTTTTCGTCTAGATTTGCTAACAAGACTGTCCCAACAGACCCAAGCTTCAGATTTAGCTGCAGCTGCCTCTGTCCAGCCACTCGCTACACAATGTTTCCAGCTCTCTAACATGTTTAACCCTCAAACAGAAGAAGTTGGATGGGATACAGAGATTAAAGACGATGTGATTGAAGAATGTAATAAACATGGAGGTGTTATTCATATTTACGTTGACAAAAATTCAGCTCAGGGCAATGTGTATGTGAAGTGCCCGTCAATTGCTGCAGCTGTTGCTGCTGTCAGTGCATTGCATGGCAGGTGGTTTGCTGGGAAAATGATAACAGCAGCGTATGTACCTCTTCCAACTTACCACAACCTCTTTCCTGATTCTATGACAGCTGCACAACTACTGGTTCCAAGTAGACGATGAATAAAGATATAGTCCCTTGTGTACATAGCTTTCTTTCTTTCTTGAGAATTCATCTTGAGTTATCTTTTATTGAGATAAAAAATAAAAAGGCAAGGGTCTACTGTCATTTGTATACAATTCCTTTTATCTTGAAAAAAATAAAAATGTTAACAGGAATGCAGTGTGCTCATTCTCCCTAACTACCAAATCCCACTGTATACAAAGTTGTTCTCTTGTTCTGCCTTTTAAAATGTTCAAGTAGCAGATTACATTAGGGACCTATAGAAATAGCCGTAGGGGAACGAATGTGCTTTCTGTGAAATGGCCAGGACCAGGGGTGTAATGATGTTTTTAAATGTTTAACTTTTTACACAGCAGTTACATTTCACATTTCACTAATGTTGATATTTGACTAATGTGTTAGCAGAGGTTTCTGCAATACACATTTAGTGTATGATAATTCAAGACAGCTAAAGGGCTGTTTCTTTAGCATCTCATCTTGCATTTTGATCAATTGGCAAGAAAGGGAGACCTCAAAATTAAAATACTTCTTGGTGGTATCTTTTCAATTACTGTATCTTTAAAAGTTTCTTTGTAATTAGTGTGCATTCTGGTGTGTCTTAAGATTCCAAACAAAATGATCCCTGCATTTCCTGAAGATGTTTAGTGACAGTCTGGGAAGCAAAACAGTCTGAGTGAAAAGTAGGAAATGCAGAAATAGGTTTTATCTGTTTGCATATAATCTTTGCTCTTTTTAAGCTCTGTGAGCTCTGAAATCTATTTTTGGGTTACTTTAGTGTGTTTGACAAGACAGCTTGATATTTCTATCAAACAAAATGAATTTCCTATTGCAACAATCTTTGTAAGAACCACTCAAACAAAATTCTCTTAAAAAGCTCTCTCCCCCCAAATAATAAAAGTTCAAGCACAAGATAAAATAAAAGTGCAAATGTACAGGCTGGGGCCACCTCATGTAACCAAAAGAATTATGTATGGTTGCTTTACAGTGGAACTTGGGAATAGTAGAGGATCTGGTCTTTAAATACTAACATGTATTTGCTTTAAAGGATGTTTCTTATTTAGGGACATATATAGGAGTATTTCAGGTGAAATATCTGCAATTCATCTTAAAATACTGAAGGTGGGTTGTTGAGGAGTGAAGATTGGCCATGGATTGCTCAAGCCTACCATTTTGAGGTTGCTGTAAGCTATGGCTCATAGGGTGCCAAAGGGAGACTTCCTCAAAAAAAAAACTATTTAGGTGTGGCACCTGTGGCTCAGTGATTAGGTCACCAACCCCATACACCACAGGTAGCGGGTTCAAAACCAGCCCTGGCCAAAAACTGCAAAAAAAAAA